CCCCTTCCGCGCGAGACCAGTGCCGTCGACCCCGCCATCCGCAGGTGGCACGGACGCCAATCACCGCGCTCAAAGCCCCCACCCTCCCCACCATGTGATCGCCTCGACTGTCGCCTCTGGTGCCTGGCAGCTCGTCATTCACCTTTGTCACCAGGCGGCCCGACACAGAGTCACGTCGCAAATCTGCTTTTCAGTTTGACTCCGCCATCGCTCTGTCCGCCCATATTCTTGGCCCTGTATTTTTCTCACCTTCGGCTTTAGACGCGCCTGCTCTGACAAGCCGAGACACACCCTCACAGCTCCCGACGAGCCTGGCCTCAAGCAAGTGCCGGTCCCGTCGTCGTCATGAACTACATCAAGTCGACAGTCAACACGCTTCGCGACCGGTACACGCCGGTGACGCACACCTCAACCTTCCGAACCACCGGCCAGATCACGCCAGAGGAGTTTCTCGCGGCGGGCGACTACCTCGTGTACAAGTTCCCGACCTGGTCGTGGGGCGACGCCGACGACGAGAGCCGCCGCGTCAGCTACCTTCCTCCAGGCAAGCAATACCTCGTCACCCGGAATGTGCCATGCCATCGCCGCTTGAACGACGACTTTGCTGGCGACGCTGGGCATGAAGAAGCGCTGGTTAACGACGGCGACGATTTCAAGGGCGCCGAGGGAGCCGCCGATGACGATGGGTGGCTGAGGACCGGTGGCCTGGCGAGCTCGCAGCCGTTGAAAGCAAGGGACGTCCGAACGGTGGACGATGCGGGTAACGTGACAGAATCTACGGACTTGGATGACGACATTCCGGACATGGAAGATGAAGACGACGACGAGGCCATTATCCGCGACGTCGGGTCCGATTCCAGTACCAGGTAAGTCCTCTTGCAACCCACCCCCCGGAAAAGACAGTTGTGCTAATACGCTTTATTCAGTGGCCGCCGAACGTATACGCTCTACATCATGTACACGCCGTACTACCGAACTCCGCGCCTGTATCTGTCGGGTTACCTGCCTAACGGCCAGCCGCTCCCCCCGCAGAGCATGATGGACGACATCGTGGGCGACTATAAGGACAAGACGGTGACGCTCGAGGACTTCCCCTTCTTCGCCAACAACATTAAGATGGCTAGCGTGCACCCTTGCAAGCATGCCTCCGTTATGAAGACGCTACTCGATCGTGCCGACGCTGCCCTTCGCATCCGCCGCGAGAAGCTCCGCGCCGGCAAGACGGTCGGCACGGACCCTGGTATGGAAGGCCTCGTCGATGAGCTGGGCAAGCTGGACGTCAAGAGCGCCCAAGAAGCCGCCGATAAGGACGAGTGGGAGGAGGTGCAGGGCATCGACGCTGAGGAGCAGGAGGTGGCCATCCGCGTGGACCAGTATCTGGTCGTCTTCCTAAAGGTGTGTCTCTGCCGCTCCCCTCATCATCCATCTGCCATTCATTCTGCAGCTGCTGACGCGTGCTTTACAGTTCATGGCGAGCGTCACACCCGGCATCGAACACGACTTCACGATGGGCGTATAAGCCTGGCCGGCAGCGCCGAGGCAGCGGAGGCGCCTCTCTTTTCTCCGTCCACGTCTTGAATGCAGCGGTCGCCGGCGTTTGGGGGAGTCTTTTGTATTTTCCAGAGTGCGGATCTGCACGTCCAGACTTTGCTCCATGATAGATGAGTAGGTTACAGAATGTTAGAACGGCTCTAGCGAGTTGTAGGCGCATGGCCGTAGTGTGAGCTCTATTACAGCAATCTTTCAAGATATTGTACCGCAGGAGCCTTCGGGAGAACCTGTGTAACGTCTTTGGAATCCGTGAACGAGGGCTGAGGCTGTCATGTTGATGCAATCGTTGTACGCTCATCGTCAATGCGGTAGACTATGAGTGCGGATTTGTTCGAGCATCATGTGAGAAGGGCATGTGGCGGGGATTAACTCGACAGCAGCGATAGCAACGACAGCAACGGTCATTGATCTATCACACAGCGAAGCTGACCCTGACACAGAGGCGCGCACAGCAGCGATCCATAGAAAATGCTTTCTTGTATTCCAAGACGTGGTATCAAGCGTCGCTTCGTATCTAATGCATGAGGGCTCCTCCCAGATATGCCAATGTCTGATGATGCAAGGGGGGAACAAAAGAACAAGAGCCAGGGCGAGGGCGAAGGCTTGGCAGACGCGGGGCTTGATATTGCTCTCCCGCGACTGCCGGCCTTGCTCTCCCTGGACAAGAAGTATAGTCAATGGACAAAGGGAAGAAAGAAGGAGGTCCCGTGCTGGGAAGTCGACCACGCTATGGTCCGCTCCGCTCCCGCTCCGCTCCCGCTCAATCTAATCCGACCACTGCCGTGGCTCTCATGAAGAGCCAAATGGCTTGCCAAAGTTGCTGGTGCTCTTGAATCTCAAAGGTACTTCGGGCTCGAGGTTCTGGCCATCCTCCGTTTCGTCGTCTCCATCAAACCCGCCGGTCTGGGATACCTGCGCATGCCTCTGCTCTGGTGGGCCAGGAGCCCCTGACGGTCCAGAAGGCGCGTCCAAATCCTCGTCCTCTGATTGAAGAACACTCGGCAAGGCGTCTTGTCCGCGGCTGAGAGATTCCAACTTCTTGTTTAGTTGCTCGAAAAATATGTCGTCCTGTGCCGGCAGATTCTTCAACATGAGAGGCCCCTTAAGAGGGACATCGTCACTAGGCTGTAAATGACCCTCGGTAGTGGGCTCGTAGCTCTCAGTGTCGATGACAGGTTCGCCGCGAATTTCTGTCAAGCCCGGATCATCGATAGGGGGAGCAGTGATGGCGTCGTCGGTCTGCTCTGCTACACCAGACTCCGCGGATGGTGTTCCGACACGACTCTGCTCAGTGGTTGAACGACCCCCTGTCGCTGTCATAGTCGGGAGCAGGGACAAAGAGTGATTAGGTGTGTGGCCGGCGTGCATTGTCAAACGCCGTGACTCTTCGGCGGCCAAGACTTGCATGGTTTGGTCTCTGGCGGAGGTGCGATTCAACCGAGATGTCCTACCTCGATCGATGGAAAGGCTATGTGGAGACCACCGTCTAGTGCGTGAATCGCGCCTCCTAGGTGGTGCCTCGCGGCCCTGACCTGGCCTACGGGCCAGAGGGTTCAGCTGGGGTTGGCTCCTTGGTGGTGAAAACGTGGCGCGCTTCAGCGCGTTCGCTTTGATGGGTATGCCCTCGAGTTTGGGGTCGATCTCGTGGACGTCGATGATGGTGAGATGTTTGTCCTCATCGGAAGGTGGCGCAAGGAAGTCCTTATCGGCAGCTTTCTGCGGCAGAACCCGGGGATCGAGTGCTGCGACCTGCAAAGGTGCGGGATGTCCAGTCGGAGATGTGCGAGCACTACCCTGGGCTGCAAAGTGAGGCCTTCTTGAAGCTCCATCGAGGCCAGGGGGTAGCAACAAGACGTCGGCTCTCGAGCTGCCGCTCTGAACAGATGGGTTTGGCGACAAGATAGAAGCCGAGGGATCAGATGATGACGTTGAGTTCCCTGTGGCACTGTCCACAATATTTTGAGACTGCCCAACGACCTGAGCGAAATTACTGTTCGCGGGATCGCGGCCTGACTGGCCCGATCTGAATGCTGCATTCTCTTCCTGCAGGACAAGAACCTGCGCGCGGAGGGAATCCAACTGTTGCTCCATAGCACCTTTCTCATTGGACCATTGCTCCCGAGCATTGTCCATTGCCGTTTGTAGACGCACTAGGTCTGCATCGGCTTGCTGCTTCTGAGGCTCCAGGCGCTCCCGGTCCGCCATCCAAGCCTGGACGAGGAATGAAAGCTGCTGTCGGAGCAGTTGAATAGCGCCGAGCAGCTCGTGCTGGGGTGCAGTGGCGTCGGCCGAGACGGACCGTTGTAATGGAGGCAAAGGAGGTGAAAGCGGCGAGAGCCCGGTCCCACCACTGGGTGCCGAGTGCACCAAGGGTTGCCAGGGCGATATGCTTCCTGAGTGACCAGGATAAGGGGGGGTAGAGTTGTCGTGTAAGCCTTCGAGGTTGAGGCCCAGGCCTAAAGACGCCAGCGTATGCAAGGAGCTCTTCGCTCTAGCAGTATCGAAGGAGCTTGTATTCGAGTAACCGAGGCTGGGGTTATGCGATGTTTCGCTGTCTGCGCCGCTGAACTGGCCTTGCAACGAGGCAGTCCCGTGGCCCAAGTCGGTGGGGGCGCGAGGATGGGACGCAGATGCTCCGTCGGGAGCGGATTGCTGGGTTGTGGTACTTGTTGTCGCAGCGGGTGCGGGATTGCTCTCTGGACATGACCGGGCGGGGGCGTTCATTGGTGAAAGCCCTCTGTCTAGACACGGCGAAGTCGATGATTCAACACGAGTCTTAGGGATGGTGCCCGCAGTCGGCGAGCCGGCGGGCATGGCGCTGCTGTTGGTGGACCGCTGCTTCCCGCCGACATGGCCGAAAACCGAGTGATCCCAGCTGCTATTGGCAGCAAAGCTGAGTGTTGTCTCTTGGCGATTGGGCGATGTAGGCGCAAGGGTGTTGCCGACCACACCTGACGGCAGGAAGCTATCTGAGACCATGCCGTCCGCGGGTTGAATGTGGCAGTCCGGAGCGAGTCTATGTCCTCTCCCGAATGGGAGGGCACATGAACTGGCGGCGGATCACGCAGATCGAGTGGCGCGGTAGGACAGCAGATATGAGATGGCGAGTATGGTGTCTAGTTGGGGATAACGCCGTCTCAAGACTTCAGGTCAGGCGCTTGAAGTCACTGACTGGCAGACGACAAGTTCGAGGGGTGGACTTTGCATGCAGGCAAAATAGTCTCGCTGTCTCTTTCCACCGCTTTCCTGATGTCGCATCTCCTCCACCGGTATTTGGCTTTCGAGTGGTGGCGTTGGCTTATAGCGGCGCCAAGTCGTCGAGTCGGGTATCGATCGCGGCGGAGAAATGAAGAAAGAGGGCTCGCGGCTAAGTGGTGAAGAGGCCGGGGATCGAGGGCCTATGCGCGCTGGGTCAAGCCGCAGCAGGGCGCGGCGGGACAACTGACGAGCGATGGCCCGCGGAGGGTTCAGCTGGCTTGCTGGGCAGCAAGCATGCAGTTGTGCGACGTCCTTTGCCGGCGCAATACGGTTGCACCAGGCGTCCGTGACGGCGAGGCGGTATACACGCAGGTCGGCAGGGAGGCGCGCGCGAGCATGAGCATGTATGTGACCGCACAGCTGGGGGCTCAGAAGAGGCTGTACTGGCCGGCCTCGCTAGGTTTCGTTTCGACGCACGGGCGGGTGGCGTGAATTCGCTCTCGTCGGAAATCGGCGCACAGTCGTGGCAGCCGGGGTCGGTCTTCACCTGGATCTTGGCTCGGCGGCCCACGAGGTTGAGAGCGGTAAAGACAGTTCCTCCAATCGCCGTGGCGCCGGGGGGTGGTCGTGAGCCGATGACGGGCAGAAATCGACCCTTGCGAGAGTCGTCGTTGGGCTCGCAGGCTGGCATGCACTGGCGGTCGAAGATGCGGTGTCGTGGTATTGGAGAATGTGGAGAAGGAAATCGAGGCACGGAGCGAGACACGGGTACCGTCGTCATTTGAACAGAGGCCCGCCGAGGAAAGCCAGCAGGCGGGCGGGCAGCACGAAGGGTTCAGTCAGGGTCCAGCTCGGTTAGCGCGTCTGGCCCAAAAGGTAGCAGGTACTCCGCCCGTTCAGGGATGGATGGGACCCGTACCTAGGTACTCCCGGTTGGCCGCTGTCTGACGCGCGCTGAAAGGGCCGCTTCCACCCAATGACCGGCTGCGCCATCCGCAACACAGCCGTGGGAGCGCGGCGTTGGGCGAATTTGGGGGCCACCGGCCGCCGCCCTTCGTACCGGGTACCTCCAAGGGGATTTGTAGCCCCGTTCAAGCCCTGGCATCCCGTCCCTTTCGGACGCGGTAAAGCCCAACCTGAGGCGCCAGGAGGAAGGCCACGCCTTCCCAATCCGCTGCCACGTCCGATACTCAGGCGCCGACTCATGACCCATGATGAACCTGAACTGCGAGTTCCGCATGCGAGTCAGAGTATTGCGCTGCTTATTGGCCATCGAGACGGCACCCGTCAGCCATCCGACGACATGGCCACGTACCTCGGGTAGCCAGCAGGATGGCAGGCATCCCCAAGTTGGTGGGTGGGACGGCGGGATGGCGACGCAACAGCATTGGCGACAGGCATGGGGCGGGACGGGACGGCCGGGAAGCTTCCCGCATGGCCCAGCCGGCCAACCTAAGGAGCGAAGCAAACGGACGCCCACCTCGATGATGTTCTGCGCAATGCATGAGGGCTCAAGCCTCAGCTGCTTTCTCACAGCCAGCGCCTGCGGCTGACCTTCGAGACCTGCATTAGTGGCTGCACGTCGTCTTGCCCTCGCCTTCAGATCGCCGCTTTGGGAAAAGCAATGACTGCCTGCAGGCTGAGCAGTGCCTGGTGCTTGACTGAATCACTGCTGCTCAGCCAAGCACGTCTGCGCGTGGTCTCTAAGGGGGGAAGTCAGTGAAGTGTGATATACGTCCCAAAGTACGGGCTACGACGCACGTACATCCGCCTCCAACAGGCCATGGCCGGCCACGCGGCTCAGGGAAGTAGTGTTCGTCCAGAGTGTTGGCGACGTCTGTTTCAACTGGCACCCGCGTCATTAGCAGCAAGCTTGGGCCGTGGTTGGCGGGAATATCCATAGACCAACACTTTACATAACTGGCGAGACGGCGCGTATCAGTATAGCCGCGGTTCCTCAGATGTAGCAAGTTTTCAAACCTGCACGGGTCAACCCTACGGATAACGGGCCAGCAAAAGACACCTGCTCGACGAGAATGTGGTATTTTCTGGATCGGAATTGTCAGAAACGCGTAATGACCCAGCCTTTCGAGGAATAATGGGCTGTCAAGCGTCAGACATATAGTGCGCAATTGGCCAGTCGGGAAAACGGCAGGTCCTTACCGATTCGCTTGAGGTCGAAGAAGCGGTCTTGATTGCCCGCTTGAATCTGCCATGAAGCTCTTCGCTATCAGCTATGTTGTTTGCCTTTTCGCCTGTATGGTATGGCTGATGGTGACCTACACCCATGTGAACCGCAAGAAGACTGACGCGCGCATTATCTTCTAGGCGGCTGGACTTGTTGCTGTTCACCCTGAACAGGGCAGCGGCACTGGATCTAGGGACGACCTAGCACCACCCGAGAGAAGTACTGTGATCCGCAACGGCACCGCAGAGTTCATCGCCAGCTCGATATTGGACAAGCGACATGAAGCCACATGGACCGCGTCTAAGATGGAGTGCGGTCCACGAAACGATGAATATTCGGTCAACGAGGCGCTCACCAAAGAATCTATTGATGCGCTACGGGGCAAGGGTGGCGTCTATACCCTTCAAAGACATGCTTGCGTGAGGATCAGTTGCCAATATGATTCTGCTATTTTCTGGTGCAATCATGTATTCATCCCCCCCCCTTCCCATGCCCATTCGAACCATCCGACTAACTATGATGGCGCAGTCAAACGTCACAAGGACCGTAGAACGCAAAGTCATCGCATCTGGGGCTGATTTAGTCAGGCAGAAGTGCCGTCCGGCCACGCACCCTGACATGAAGTATTTGACTAGCGGGAAAGCATGGATAGACGACGGTTTGATCGTTCGGGTTGGCGGTTCAAAATGCTAAAGAGCTTGGCTACATGTATTGACCTTGGATCGATAGTAAGGCGACCGCAATGACTAGAGCAGGAGCAGTTTTGGCAGCTCTCATTGAAGCAGTGTACATTTTGTTACCTCGTAGAGTGACTTAGATCTTTGGTCCATGGATCAATCCCAATGGCATTAGACCTGGGAAACCGCTCACTCCCCTGCTCCTTGACCGCGCAGTATGTGAAGCGAGCGGCCCCCAAAAGTAATTGAGCAGTTTTGCAGCCCATGCAATGATGCAATGATGCAACGTGACAGCCGAAGAACGAGTTCCAGAGAGCCAGTGACACTCAGACCGAGGCCAGCAGCAAACATCGAAACGACTGGCCATGTCATGCCGGGCTGGCTGCGTCCTGTTTGGACGAGCGAATTGCTTCTTTGGGATGCATGTCTCCCGATTGGGGTGCATGCAGGGTCTCGGTGCCAGCTGAGCAGCCTTCGGGGACGTTTCTGCGCGGCACCTCGGGCGGCGTCAGGTTGTGCCGTCTGCAGCCACCGGCGCTTGACCCGGGACTCTTCCGGGCTTGCATGGCGAGTTGAGGCCTGTTCGGCCTGCTGGCAAGTGTCGGAGGCTGCTGTCACAAGCCAGCTGGCGGCTGTTACCTGCTCCCTTGTGACGCGAGTGCGAGATTTGAGGCTTGACAAGGCCAAGTCCGGTGATAAGCAAGTCGGCGGCGGCCGACCTGTTCCGTCGGGCCGAGGACTCGAGCTTTTCAAAGCTCCCAAGCAATATCCCAAAAGCGCGCCCGCGCGCAGAGCTCGATGAGCGTTCTCATCACAGCTTGTGCGAAAGTGGCAAATCTGTGAGGGAATTAAGTACATAATACCTTATCAGGACATCAAGCCTGTTTGGGTGATGCTCAGGGTGCAATCTAGAAATAATTGCCGTTTCGCAACGTGAGGGACAAGATCGGTCTCCAAGCTGCCAGTTTTACGAACCACTAAAATGGGAATGAGATGTAATTTGAACCTGGAAGCGATAGCAATTGCAGTTGCATAACACTCCTCGAAGCCTGCTCGAGAACTGGCCGTCGAGTTGAGCATTTCAGTGGTCGAGAAACATCGTGCATAATGGGGCAACCAGGCATCACATCCAGCTGGTAGGAGAGGACAAGCTGCAGTCATACCTGGGCTTAGTAGAGAGCAGCCTGATCACATTCTACGACGCCTGCAAGTCTTGAGAGAGATCAAAGTCGCGTCAAAGCTTCTGTGGAGTGTTTCGTTCAGAGCATTGGCAGGATGTGACGAGGCGTTTGGCGAGGCGCAAGACCAGTCCGACAACTCGCGTCACCAGACGGGATTGCTTGCGTATCCCCATATCCCGTGCATAGGCGTCCCCCTCGCATACTTTGGAGACATTGCATGAGCTGCGCCAGTCCCAACGTCAGCAGCGGGGATCGCGACGGGCTCCGCGACAGGATGCCACTTTCGTCGTACCACGCACACATAGCGATCCTTCTACAGAGCTGAGTTCGAAGCTCGTTCCTGATGAGCCAACTGGGCCGTTGCCCGCCTGAAGCCGGCCGGCTACACGAGCCATACGCTCACGACTCAGCTGCTTTGCTTCTCCGTGCAATGAGGATCCTGCAGTCTCACCAAGGCTCGTACAGTGGCAAATCTGGGCACAGTTGCTCCAACCCTGCGCATGCCGTGCGATGTGAGTGGTTCTGGAAGACGCGGCACACGGCGACACGGCTTGGTCACTGCGGGGGATGATTTTCTAGAAGGCTCGGAAGGGTTCGGAAAACAAGCAGGGACAGGGCGCCCAAAGACCAGAGAGAACGCTGTGCAGCCCGCCGAGCCAAGACTTTGCCCGATCACAGCGAGAAGCCAAGCTTCAGAGGCGTAGAAGCCTGGGGAGGGGCGGACCAACGGGGGCCGACCCGTCACGATGATGCAGGCAAACGGGTGATGCATTGGCAGGGTCAGAAAATAGAGTTGATCAGCAAGCATCCGATGTGGTGCAACATGACCTTGCCGCCGACTGTCATAGGGCGAGGGGTTGCACGATGGCCGCCCGGCAACGGGGGGACGGACAGGCTAAAAGCGAGGAACTTGGGGTACAAGAAAGATACAAAGTGCGTGACGGACAGTACTTTGCACCTCGTGGTGATGGTTCGTGCTTGGCGGTGCGAGGGTGGCCGCAGGACGGAAGCGCTGTTGGACAGGGTCGAGGAGGAGAAGTGACGCCACTGTCCTTGGCGGCGACAGTCTTCGTTGCCTGTCCACCTGCTGGGCCGTCACGCCGCATCGCCATCCATCCGAAGAGCCCAAGACCTGTTTCTTCGTCCTTCCCGACAAACTCGAGGGGGCGATATAACGAAACCGGACAGCAGAGGTGGCGGAGCAGCATGGCGAATAAGCAGCAGCAGCAGCAGCAGCAGCAGCAGCAGTAGCAGGCTGATGGATGGCGAGGTCCTGGCACGACAAAGCCAAGTGCAGATCCCGCTGGCGCCAGGCGGTTGAGTTTAAACTCGAGCGGCTCGGGGGGTGGCGGGCTCACGGGTGAGGGAAAAGCCAATTGAGAGAGATACAGGAGTCCTTGCCAACGGGCCCCACCTTGCAGGCTCAAGTATTGATGCGCCACAGACTTCCGGGTGCGGCAACAATGCCGTCTGGTTGCCTGCGTATGCCGACGTGAAAGTGCTGATGGACGGGGGCGGGCGCCGTGGCGTTGACGAAGTGCTGGGATGGAGCTCACTTGGTGATGACGGGATCGCTCGGCCAGACGCCGCCGACAGTGGGGCCAGCGGATGTCTTCCGTGGACGGGGCAGCGGCACATGCCCTGAACCGCCTGGCTGGCCTTCTGTGGCCGCCAAGTGATGTGCCGGCAGTGGATTTGACCAGCGGCCCGCCCGCTGTGAGCTGGAGCATCCATCCACTGGATCAACTGATGCGCCCGAAGCCACAGGGCTCGTCCCGTCGCCAATTCACCCCGCCCACGACGAGCCTCGATGTCGGTTTCATTGGGGGCTCTCCCAGCTCCGACGATGCATCTTCTACAGCAGAAACACAACGCCCGTGATGATGAGAACTATTTTCGTCGTGCGGCTGGCGTCATTTGAAGATGTTGTCCGCCGAGATGCCCAGCGCCCATCGTTGCCGGCATCTATGATGTACCTGCGAAGGAGTATGACTGCAGACCGCAGCGAGTGTCCGAGGCAAAGCTCCCAAGCCTACCCATGTGTCCGTCCGTTAATGGACGAGGAAGGGATCAATCCGGGATCAAAGTGCATTGCCCCCCGTCTCCCGTGCGAGTCTCTGGCGCGTGTACGGGTGAATATCCCCTACGCACATCTGAGCCAAAATCTCATTTACACCACGTACCCGATGGGCCCTCTCTCGCAACGGCGCCAACTCAAAAACTCGCCTTCTCGTCAATGCCCACAGGCGCAAGTTCGAAATATGTAGCTCATAGCTCCTTTGCCCCCCGCTCGCAACTCGTGTTTGATTTGTTCCCGCGTCCTCTCGTGCTTGGTCTGCCCCCTGCGCTTAACCCAATCTCGTAGGTCGACCCAGCAGCGCCAGCAGCCGAACCGCATTTTATCAGATCCATCTTATCTGATTATCAACCCCTCGCCATCTCACTCGCTGCCGACCACCCCTGTGTCCCCTCCCCTCGGCGGGGAATTTCGCAGGGCACCTCGCCTTCAAGCTCCTAAAGCTGCCGCTCGCAAGACTGTGTTCCGCCGATCGCGGGCAGCGCCCAGCCAAGGAAGGGCATCCATGCCTGCTTGTCCTGCGGCCATGGACCGATGGCTGCCCACCGCCGGCACTGGCGCTGATGCCGCAGCGCGTGTTTGTGGATCGGCGGACATGACGAAAGTAACTGAGTTGAAAGGATTTTCCCCCCTCCTACCACGCCGCTTCTCCAATTGAGGCATATATTCTGTCGTCGTTGCTCGAAACCGCCACGGAAGCCCTTGACCGAATCTAGACTGCTGCGCCCAAATACACAGTGTACGGAGAGAGCATATCCCGTGGTCAGCCAGCTCGTCGGTCATGCTGGTCCACGACTTGTACGCGGGCACCAGGCAGGCCCTCGTTTCGTACGGCCTGTCGACGCTGCTCCTCGCCATCACCGCAGTCGCCCTCTACTTTGGCCACTGGTTCTTCAAGCTCTTCCGGGCTCGCTCCTTTTACTGGGGCTTGGTACGTCGACGATGCCAAAGCCGCCCCCAACTGACTTTCAACCGCTGACGACAAACAAATTGTCGTCTCGCAGCCTCAACCGCCCAATCACACCTTTCGCTATGGCCACCTCATGCTCTTCCACGAGGTGGCTGCTCAGTTCCCGCCCAACACGCACCCGCAGCACATGTACACATACATGGCGCAGAAGTACAACCTCCCCGGCATCTTCTACGTCGACTGCTGGCCCTTTGCCGACCACCAGATGGTCATCACCGACCCCGACGCCGCCATGCAGGTCCTCACCAAGAACCCCTATCCCAAGCACCGCCAGATCGAGAAGTTCCTGCGCCCTTTCACGGGCAAGGACAGCATCGCCGCCTCGAATGGCGACCGCTGGAAGATGAACCATCGGATGGTGGGCTCGGGCTTCACTCCGACCTACATCAAGCCCATGATGGGTATGATTGTCGACCACGTCCTCGTCTTTCACGACACGCTTCGAAGGTTCGCCGAGTCGGGAGAGCCGTTCTCCATGGAGGAGGAGTCAGCCAAGGTCGTGTTCGACGTCATCGGCAAGATTGTCTTTGGCTTCTCTCTCGACGCGCAGCGCAACGGTTCCCCTCTCCTCCATGACCTGAGAGCCACCATCGATCCGGCGACGGCAACCCTGGACGACTCGTCGTGGAAGCCGTGGGCAAATCGTGACGCGAAAAAGAAGCTGGCGGCGTTGAAGAAGCGTGTTTACGATACCCTGGCCAAGGAAATGAATGGGCGTCTGCCCCTCCTCAAAGAGGAAAAGGACATGACGAACCCGAGGCGCGCCAAGAGCATCATGGACCGCATTGTGCTTGACAAACTCCAAAGCGAACCGAACACGACGAAACTCGGCGACGAGTTTATCGAGACGGTCGTGACAAAGTGAGCCACCACGACACACGTTTCCATGTCCATTAACATTCGCTGACTCCCAGCCAGTCTCAAGGCTCTCCTTCTAGGTGGCCACGGAACCACCACGGATACCTTTACCTTTGCGACAATGTTCTTGAGTCTGCACCCAGACGTAGTCGAGCGGCTGCGCAGAGAGCACAACGAACATTTCGCCCCTGATCTCGACACGACCGTGGAGCAGCTCGTTGCCAAACCAACCAAGACCAATGATCTCGAGTACACCAACGCCGTCATCAAAGAGACGCTGCGATTCTTCCCAATCGGGTTCACCATCCGGCAAGCCCCTCCTGGCGTCAAGCATCTGGACTGGAACGGCAAGCGCTGGCCAGTCAAGAACTGCATGGTCATACCCTGCGCGCACACGTCGCACATGGACCCCAAGCTGTGGAACGACCCGAAAACGTTCCGGCCGGACAGATTCCTGGGAGAGGAAGGCGAGGAGATGCATCGCTTCGCGTGGCGGGCTTTTGAGCGCGGCCCGCGAGCTTGCATCGCTCAAGACCTGGCCATGGATGAGCTGCGCGTCTTGCTGCTCCTGACGGTGCGGTGGTTCGATTTTGAGACAATCGTCGAGGGCACCAGCGAGAGGGTCATGTACATGGACCTGGACAAGCAAGTCGGCGACCTTGCGTTCCAGGAGGTCGGTATGGAGGCGCGGCCGCGGAGGAGCATGAAGATGAAGGTCCACTTGAAGGGCAAGAGGCCTGCGCCTTCAAGTACGGAGGGAAAAGAGACGAATGAGTCGAAGTGAGCGTCTCTCACCGGACGGGATTTGCAGGAAAAGGGGCGACCGCAAGCAGAAGGGGCGAAACGCCTCAAGACTGGACGTATGTGGAGAAGGCATATAGCGAGGACATCTTAGCATGAGCAAACTTGCTCATACATGGCGCACAATCGTAAACTCGACCACCATGAACACAACGTAGCCAAGCAACATGGTCGCACCAACCCAGCGATGGAATCTGCCGTCGATCCACATCGTGAGAGTGAAACCCAGTGTCGAAAGCCAGAGCACGAGCAGCTCAGGCACGGCAACGTTGCCGCCGTTGAACTGCCCAGACGTATCCAGCATCACGGCGCCCATGCAGAGGGTAAGCAGGAAGATGTTGCTCCCCGCCGTGTTGGCCGCCAGGATGCCCAGGTGGCCCCTGTGGCCGCTCAGCACCGCGACGAACTTTTCCGGGAGCGTCGTGGCGATGGCGAGGAAGACGACGCCGAAGAGGACTTCGGACGTGCCGAGGGCGTCGGCGATGTTGGCCGCGGAACGAGAGAGGACGTAGCCGGCCAAGAGCATGGCCAGGAACCCGAAGACGAGATAGAGTAAGTGATAACCGAGGCTTCTTCGCTGAGATGCCGCAGGAGAATGGTGTCCATATTCTCGGGATATCAGCGGATCAGTCTCCCCGTTATGGTCGACACCCGCGCGAGAGGAGGGTGGAAGGCGCCGCCCATCGTTGTCGTCGTCGCTGTTGCTGTCGCTGTCGCTGTCGTCATCGTCGCTGTCCGACTCTGGCGCAGACAAGACGCCCTTTCGTATCGCCCAGCCAATGGAGCACAGGTACACGACAAACGCCGCAACCAAGACGGCACCGCACACGCGCCAGACCAAGAGGCCGGGAAGATGCATGATTGGCGCGACAAATGTAGTCACAGCGAGCAGCAAAGTCGCGTACATGCGCGAGCTGCGGTCAAACCGCTGCGTCTCATCATCATCATCCCCCGCCCGGCGGAAAATCAAGCCCAGCGAGAACGCGCCGAGGATGTTGGATATGGCCGAGCCCACGATATTGCCGACGGCGAGTGACGGCCGACCCTGCGCGAGAGACCACACTACGACTGCGAGCTAATAACCCAAACGAGCATTGCTTCTGTTAGTCACGGACGCGAAGAATAGGATAGTCAGGCGGACGCGGGCGTACCTCTTCCCATTCTGCGCCTGCGGTGAGGAGCGCGATGATGGAGTCGGGGATGCGCGTGCGCCGCGCGACAATGGCCGTGTGGTCGACGAACTTGTCTGCGCCAAACTCGAGGAGGAAGAGGGTGCTGATGAAAGCCGCGGCATTAAACGCGACGTCACCCGTTGCCCCCATTGCGCCCGGATTTCTCTGTGTTACCGTTGGACTTGTTGAGTGTTTGGCTGGCAGGTCATAGTCAAGGCGGCAGTTGGGCTCATGGGTTTGCGCGTTGTGGTGTTTACCGCAGTGACCTGGTGGAGTAAGCCACGCCTGGGAGAAACCCAAAGGTAGACATATCGTCACCGCTCCCGAGTCAGACACAATCGCTTCACGGGATAGCCACTCCGCGAGGTCAAACGACATCAGCCGCCCAGGCCAAAATATGCGAATGCCTGAAATCTGCATGGCCGCTCCATACATACAGAACGTGAATAGCTCTTGGATTCGTTTACTTGCCTCTCACTCAGGTCAGTCGGTCTGGACACGCGTGTAAGTGGTAATGCTCAGGTGAGGCCCGGGGACTCACGGCCAGAAGTTCATTTATAAAACCGCAGCGACTATTGCCTTGCGTTTTCTTGCCATATACGAAGTGTATATCTATCTATTATTATGCCGTGGGCTCTGTTTTCGTGAGGGCTTCATGTGTTCGCTTCAGCCCTCATATAAAGCCCATCGCTACCCTACAGATTCGCAGCGTCAAGTGATTGCGTGAAAGAACAAGTGATCCAGACACACACACGTCTATTTCCGCCCACCCTATGTTTTTTCAAAACCGAAAAAAAAACGCCATCGGGTCGGTTAAAGGAAGACTCAATCTCGTGTTGGTCGGCAACCGGGAAGTGATGCCGGACGTCGATCAGCACCGCAACTCCCCTTATCAGCGACAAGGATACGGCTCCCTCGATCTTCAACACAACATGAACTGATGTCCTTCAACAAAGCAAATTCAGCAAAAACTCCCCAAGTATGGGAATGTTTCAGACAGTGCCGGGGGGGCACCGGCACATTGCAGCACGGTCAAGATGATACATCGATTCCGCGGAGCCACCTCCGCAACTCGGTCGCACCACAGGCACCACGCACCTCGCAGAAGACTCGTGGCAAAGATCCTGGGAGACGTCCTGTACCACCCGGATCGGGCGCAACCCACCCAGCTTGGCGAGCAGCCACCGAGAGCGAGAGAGGCTTGTGTGGAGCAGCACAGCGCGCTTCCCTCTTGTCCTGTCGCCTCGGCCGCTCGAGACCGGACAGGACCGGGGAGGGGGAGGGGAGAGCGCTCAACCACAGAGGGATGAAGAGCGGCGGCATGGGTCACCGTCGCCGCCATCGCCGCGCCCGCCGCCGGCGCGTGCATGTGAGGGGGCGGCCGCGGCGGCGGTTGCTCCGTACAGCTCGGGAGAATGACTGGGCCCCGTGTCACCCCATCTGCGCGCTTGATACGGCCTCGAGCACTTGCAGGTTGACAGCTCAGGGTGACACAGATGCGCCGGCTTTGTGCTACCCACATTGAAAGGGCGAGAGAGAGCGAGAGAGAGAGAGTAGAGCACGCGAACCAGGATCACCATCAGCCCGCGCGTGTGCTTCGCCTCCTTCCCCCCCTTTCCCCCCTCCCTCTCCCTCCCGTTGGGAGGCAGGGACGACGGCTCGTTTTCTTGCGCTCCGGGATCTTGGGAACACACGCATCGCTGGCAGTTGTTGAGCAGGATGCGGACGGACCTGTCAGCGGCGAGTTCAAAACGGCCCCGTCGTCCTCTTTCAATTTTGGGTTGTGCTCTAGAAGCGACCTCCCTCCCCTCCTCTCCCCTTCAGTGCCGATGTATGTATCCCTAATGCGTCCAAGAAAAGTCAGAAAACTGTCTTTCCGCCCAAAAAACTCCGTCCGATGACGAACCAGACACGGACCAGAAACCTCGTAGTAACTAGTGGCAGAGGTAGCCAGGAGGAAAACAAAAATAAAAAGCCTCCCACTGCACGCGACGCTGTGTAATCTCCATGACGGGGGGTTTGCTTCCACCTCCCGGGCGGGCCCCCGGCCTACCAGTCCAGGTCTGGGACCTCGTCGGCCGAGCCGTCGAGCAGTGTTGATAGCATCTTGTTGAATCCCTTGTCGCAGGCCTGCTGGGAGACGAAGCCCGCCTTGGCCAGCACGCCCAGCGCGCCGTAGATCCAGTGCTGGTGGGTGAACTCGTCGTCCTTGGATCCCACGGGCGCCGAGCGCATGAGCTCAACCAGCCGCGCCTCCGTCAGGGGCAGCGTCCGGCCGACCCTGACCGTCGGCAGCGCCCGGCTCGTCTGCCGCGGGTCGAGCCCCGTCTTCATCTCGAAGGCGTAGCCGTCCGTGCCGTCGGCCAGGTGGAAGTAGTAGTAGAGGCCCGACTCGAGCGGCGCGAAGAGGATGCCCGCGTGCCGTTCGTCGCTCGTGTCGCGCTTTTGGCCGCGCAGGACGATAATGTAAACGAGGTAAATCTGCTTGTCCATCGCCGCCCCTCACGCCCCAAGAGACTTGGAGGGCAGTACAATAATAGTGAGACGTTCCTGTTGCCCGTGAGAGCTTGCCGGCGACGATGCTATTGACGGGCTCGGTGCGCTTCGAGGAGGCTGTCTGCTGTTTGACGGGAGCCTTGGACGCGATCTAGGCTAACGATTAGAACTCAGGCCTGGTGAATGGTCGGGGACAGCGGCGACTTTAATGGTGTCACTGCACCGAGTATGTATATAAGGATTCTCCATCCGTGTACTGCTTATCAGAATCTGTATCCTCTACAAGAAGACGAGCAGCCCGGTGACAGCCCGACTTGTCCTTGTACCTCAACCGACGTCGAGGCAGGGACGAGCAAGCATTGGGCAGCCACACACACGCGCGCGCACCCCGCCTAGCGACCTCAGAAGAGGGCAAAATTTTCTCGCCATAGTCGTTTTGCTATTGTCCTGTTGTGAGATGCCCAGCAAGGCAAGGCCAATGGGTTGCCCCTTGTTCTCGACAGGATACTGCAGCGGGCCAGGCCGTTGCCACAGCACGTCGTGAGATATGACTTGCGCATTTGCCCGTGGGTAGTACAACGCGTCTTCGGCAACCTCTCATCTTGAGATCCGTGCTCCGTGGTCAACATTGCGGCCAAATGCCGCTGCAATTGCCACACTCTCTACAGCCTAAAACCGGGGTGGTTGAACAAAGGTGGCTGCAGATGCGGCTCTGGAGGGCTCATCATCCAGGGACCGGGGCTTATGCCAACGGCATCTCACTCTCAGTTGGGCCATCGAACGATGGGCAGCCGCCGCCGCGCCTTGATATAAACGTGCGTCGTCATTTGCTCTGCCGCAGTCTTCCGTGGCTGGGTGGCGACAACATCGCTGGATGCGAGTCGGTCAACCCCTTGTTGCCGACTCACACAACGTACTGGGCATTCAACAAGTATACTCGCACAGTGAGCGACAAAAACTTCATGCTAGCGGTGAGAGGCAATTGGGCACGCATGTCCGGGCTTTTGCCAAGGAGACGCGGGAACACAGCCGTCGACTGGCCACTCGGCGCAAGTCGCTCGCGCATTCAACAAGAGTCAGCCGGCTGCGCAAAGGGCCAGACACTGGCGGACACAGGCCTTATCGCCATGCCGAGCCGTCGTACGCCAAAAGATGTGTTTCCACACCGCCGCCTGCAGTGCAACGGCTTTTACGCCCGAGCCTGGGTGCTGGCAGCCGGGTGTCCGAGTCGAGGCCGGCGCCCTGCGTGAGCGCGGCATATCCTTGCAGCGGCCCTGACGAATTCGGCAGTGAGAGGAAGCGATTCTTCGCGGACGGAGTCCCTCTTCGGAACTTGAGATGCTTTGACGGAGGAGCTGCGGCTGTGTGGCGTATTGGGGCATCTTTTCCCGTGTCATACATAGTATCAGAGTGCCTGGCCATGGAGTCGCTAGGTTGTACGTTAAGTGTCTGCCGGCTTTGGTACCGCGAAGCAGTCGGGCACGTAGACCATGCGCCGCTTCTAGGAAATCCTCCGTTTGCATGGAATGAGCGGGACGCAGCATGCTTGCTGCCTGCCTTTGGTCAAGAGTGCCGCCAACTCGCATAACATCGGCAGTCAGTCAAACCTGCATCCTCGTCCCCGTCTTGCAGCTGCGGCGGTGAACCCGCACCAACAACGGCAGGCCCTGGAGGAAGCCTCTGCGTTGCCCTAGGCTCCGGCCATATGAGGGCGGTTCCGTATGGCGTTGCCGGTCGGACCATGTCGCGTCAGCGCCGAGGCGGCCTGTGACAGCGGCATGACCGCGGCGTCGACAGCTCTTGCTGTTGTGCGCTGCAACCCTACTCTGGCGCAAGGTCCTCTTTCGTCTCCGAGCACCTGATCTAAAGACCGAGACTCAACAGCGGATCGGAATGTCATCCGCTGACATGAGGGGGCGTGAACGGCACTGCACTGTATTATACAGTCCCGTACGAAAGTAGGTTGTGTGTTTCGCAGACATCGTCAACACTTGCAGCGGTCTTGGGTGCAGAGAAGCCGTGCTGTGGTTGCAACGCCCCTGACGATGCGCCGGGAGATGCGCGCAGAATCCAGACGTGAGTCTAATGTCGCAGTTAACTGCCGAACATCTCGAGGCTGCACGATACTGTACCGCGTGGCTGCCTCGACAGTGTTCTTCTTGTTGTGTCCCGTGCGCGGATGATGTCCCCGTGATGGCCAAGACCCGTTTGTTCACAATCATCTTGCGACAGCGAGTGTGCCAATTGCGGACATGCAAGCACAAGGGTACATAAGTAAGAGACGCGGCTAAGGCAAACCCGACACCGATGCAACCCCTCACCAACGCGGCGCGGCCATCGCTTCGACTGCGGGCAACCAACATGCAAAGCCTGTGGCGTCGTGTTGCTTGGTAGCTGGCGAACGCACTTTTGATCCTGGAACAGCGCTTGTGCAAACACCGAGACACAGACGAGGATCCTTGAGGCAGACCATCAGATGGACGTTCGCTGGGGGTCCGCAAGTTCTTCACGCCAGCGAGCCCTTGGGTCGGCGGTGTTTTGCTGATCACCATGACCGCGTAAGTTGGCTCGCGTATGCAATGGCTGAGTTCCCAGTGCCCGGCGAGTCAGCAGTCGTCTCGTGGTTCCCTGCAGCTGCCGGGGTTAGCCAACCGCGGAAAGGACGGGAGGCGCTGTCGTGGGATTCACTGTGGTTGCAAGCTGGTGATGACGACATTGGATGACACGTATCTGAGCCAGACGGACATATGGCTGCTGTCGACCTTCAGCCAGAGAGAATGGCTTGTCTAGTTCTTGTCGGTGCGCTGTCTGGAACATGGGACTTCCATGGCCTGCACTGGACCTCATGCGGTGACTCCAATCAGTGGCAAGACGTGCGGCTGTCCATCTCGACGCCTAAGTGGAGAAACTACGACATCCATACTCGTAGCGCAAGTCCAGTTGTTGTGTAGCCTCTTGCGCGTCAGTCTTGGCATTGAACATGCGCAGCCGGTCCGCAGTACCTTGCATGGGCGGCCGCGAGACACAGGAATAGGAGTTCCTCGCGGCCTTGCCATGGCACCTTTGGCCCATCCACAGCTGCCAATGGCCGCAGCCCAACAAGCCGCACTCAGGCGGAGATGCTGGCGGCTTCCTCTGTACGGAGAGGAGTGGTTCCGTCTTCTTTGCATGAGGGTGTGCGTGGTGAGACGGGTGATGATGCGGCAAGTTACGTTTGTCGTCAGCAGGGTGCGTGTCTGTGGTTGATAATTTAGGCCAAGTCTGAACCACAAGCCTCACCGTCGGTGTCGAACGGTCGACCGCGCGAAACAAGCTTAGAAGCAAGCGTGAGACAAGGCTGGCAGCACGGGCCGCCCGGACATGGACTTAATCTTTTGGCATTGCGACCAGGAGGCTGCAGAATGGGGTGGCACTGCAGTAGATGGTGATTCATACTGTGTACTTGCTTGGACTGCGGTGAGTCGGTGACACGCGCGGGAGAGACGGTTGAGGTTAGTGTGTTTCTGTGCTTCCCTTGTCTTCATCGCGACACGACCTGGGGTTAGAGTCTAGACACCAACGCCTTCGCGCCGGAGGTTACGTACGACATCCTCGAGACAATTCAGATCGAAACGGGCCCAAAGCTTAGCTAAGGTCGCCTGATTCCCGCGGCAGGTTGGGCGGGCGGTCCAGCGACAGCCTTTGGCCCCATGGGCCCGGAGCGCTGCCGGCGCCACATGCGCGAGGGCGGCGGCCGGCAGAACAGGTGGGCAGTCGGGTCGCAGTTATGTGCTCAGGAGGACCCAGGTGTAAAATGTACTCCGTATCCCATCACACAGTGCCCAACGGGCCGGCCAAGACGACAGTGATGCCGGACGACTCTCATGGCCAGTGCCGTAATGATGATTCGAGAATGAGCTCCTTACAAGGCGTTCTTGGCGAGATTGCGTGGCTCACGCCCTGGATGCACCCTGCCCTGAGCTTTGGCGGCGGCCCGCAAACCATCGTCGTCAAATAAGGATCGCGACCGCCCAGGCAACAAGGGGTCCGTGTCTTGGATTCGTAAGATTCAAGCTTAATTGACGTAGCGGCTCAACCCTTCGACGTGGTCCCCGAGACCGGCAGGCAGGCCCGGAAGAAAAAAGGAGGAGGTGCCAAGGGGGCGGCGAGTCTGGCGATCGCTCTCGCTGTCTTGAGGGCCCAAACTCCCCACGTTTGAGGAGCAGAGGCCAGAGGCATCGCGCATGCCGAGAATAGACTGCCGATCGAGATGCTACCCGACGGCCCCCTTGCTGATGTTGGTCCCGTCCTGGGCCCAGAGAGCTGTCGCCGATGATGGACGCGCACTCTGTGACCCTGCACGCACGCCGGTGCCGTCTGCCACAACTGTCGAACGGGCAGGCCGTCGAGGAGTCCGTCCAGGCGGCGCGGGAGTACGCGGAGCGAAGTAGACAATACATGCCTTCAAGAGCCCGCACGTCGCGTCGGTCCGTCCGGTCGTTGCTTGGGTGCGAGTGAATGGGCGAGTGGACGGACAGATGACCCGGGGCAGCCATATTCGACCAAAGTATCACCGGCGCAGGGTGGAAGGACTCGCAGGCGGCCCCTTCCCACTCAAGGTAGCCACACGCGTGTGGCTGCGTCCACATGCACCTGCCCGCCACCCCGGAAATACCTGCCAGGAAGACATTGTCGTAGCGCGCAGATCTGATCTGGGGGACACGACCCAGCGAGCCAGCCAGGCAACGGGAGCGCTGGCGGCAAGCCACCAGTCATTTCGTCCAGCAGCAAAGGTCAGTGCACGTCGTACCTCCGGAGCGCTGGACTGGTGACAAGCCGCCAAAAGTGGAAATCAGCTCCTGCAAACACCACCAGCTTCGCTGCTTCATGGGGTAGGTGCAGTCAGGTACAGTACAGGCAGCAATGCCCGAATGCCGTAGGCACACGAGTACCGTGCATGCGAGCATGTGCATGCGAGTATTGACGCGGATGACCTTTATCTCCGCCGCAGTTGGAGAGCGGCGGGTTGGGTACGAAGGTGTCGCAGCCCGGCGACGCATGCGATGGGGCCTACGGCGGCGCCGCGCCCTGTAGGGACGACCGCAGGCTGTTGGGAAATATAAACATGGCTTCGTTTAGGCAGCTGAGCTGCGCAGCCAGGCGCTATGCAGGTGGAAGCCTCGCGGATGCGAGGATGCGTGGAGCGCGTATGCCCTCACGCTGCTCAAGCGCGACGCCTAGCTGCCACCATCATGTTGCGCGACAAGCCTCGCCAGCCCACGCGTGCGAGCACGGGCGCGCCGCCAACCCCGTTGATCTGGCAGCCGGCCTTTACGCGACCCACGGGGCTGGTCTCGCTCGTCAACAAGCCCGAGTTGGCGATTTGGCAAGAGGCCAGGGCGGCGTCCAAGTTCGATGACGTGCGATAACTTGATAAGGTTTTCGCGTGGTGTGGGCAGTGGCTTTAGTCACGACTGGTGTCAATGGCTTCACGGGACGAACGACTTATCGGGTCGGGCCACGACGGAGCGGGGCGGCGTGGTTCAGGGGGGGGCTCTTATACACATCTAGATGTGTATAAGAGACAGGGTACTGGGTGGCCCAGGACGGACTGCCTGGCCGCCCGTGGACCATCACGCCCCTCTCCGAGCGCACACACGGATGGCCCGTGTCTGAGACTTTACAATCTTAATGCAATCAAGTCTATTTCCCATGAGGAATTTGTTGCAGGCGGCGATCTCGGGGCCGATTCAGACAACACGATCCACGGGGGATCCTCACGAGCGTTGGAGGGCCAGGAAGTCGGCTGCCCATCCGTCCGTCGAGCCCCGTGCTCCGTGTCGTGGCATCGGGCGCCCCGGCGCGTCGCACTCGGGGAGATATCGATCGCTGCTGAAGACTCGGCGCCTCTCTCGGCCATGGACTGCTGGCGTGCGACGTTGCTGACAGGCCCAACCACAACTCCAGCAGACGCTCGCCACCCGAATCTGGCTACGGCCTCCCGACTCTCGCACGCTGGAATTGGACGGCACCTACTATTTGGGGTGAAGCAGCGCTACTCTGCCCGACACGCTCACCAGCTGTGGCTTGGGACTTGCGGGACCGGGCGGGGGTTCCAGGCCGCGGTTCGGGGCGGCTCAGGGCGGGCTGGGGAACGTCGGGTCCATCCGTGGGTTTCAGGAGCTTCCGGGGCTCGTGTGGAGTCGAGGACATTTTACGCCGAACTTCCACTCTCGTCGTCTGCCCACCACCGCAAGGGCCTCCCGCCTTGCAGGCGTGGCGGTTCTAGAAACCGCGAGCGTACTGATGCACGCGGTGCGTCCCCTTCCTGTACGTGCCTCGTACAGTTGCTCTACTGTCCGGGCAGTCCTCGTTGGCGGGGTACAGACGGGAGCAGAGAGTTGTTGGCCGCCTGTCCCGATGAGCGCCACCTGTCCGCATGACGAGCTGCCGACTCCGACATGCTGCGTGCGACCACCAGTTGGGCCCCTCACCCAAGGTCTGGACGGCCGGCAGCTGGACGCAACTTTGGGGTTTGAGGCGCGAAGGTGCTACAGTACTGTACTATTTGGTACCTACTTGCCTCCCTTCCCGAGCAGCACCTCGTAACGTGTCTGCGCCGCGCGCGCATCACACGCACGTGTATCACTCTGGCGCGCGCACTCACTGAAGACGAGCGCACCATCATCGTGACCACGAGCAACCGACGGACCGCCAGATCCCAACATGTTAGCGCCGCGCCGGTCGGAAATCAGCTTCGCAGGCGCATCAATCATCACCAGCAGACGCCGATCCGATAGCCGGGCCACGGTGCGCTGGGAGCTGGAACGGCGTTGCCGATTCTGCCGGGCCGCCCCAATGAGAGGCTGCCGCTGTTCGTTGGAGCTGGTTGGGGGGGCAATTGTCGGAGGGCGGAGGGCAATCGTGACCTGGGGCTGCATCAGCAGCGCGAAGCAAAGCACTCCCAGGATGGTGCGTTGACGTAGCCGTCTCTGTGTGCGTTCGCTCGAAGCGACCAGGTTCATGGCGCCAGTTGCGGCGTGCTGTCGCGCACGATGGTCGCGGCGTCGACAGCCAGGGTCCTGAAAAGAACGCCAACCTGCAGCTCATCTGCGCGGTCACGCCAACAACCTCCCCTCGCCGGACACAAGGGCGGCCTTGGCCTGGAGCCCTGGGCCAACAGGCGGAGCCGTCGACGAGCAATCCTTCGACCCTCAGTGGGCAGTCGTGCGGGCAAGACCCCCATCTCATCTCATGACGACGCAGAGGCGGGTTGCCGCTCCAGCTTGGTGTGGTTGGTTGTGGGGTAGATGCGGCACGAAAGTCCGATGGGGACGAGCAGCACGCCATGACAGGACGCCACGAGAGCATGGGTTGAGCGGGTTGACGATGAGGGGATGCATTGGAAGCCTGCGACGTGGGAAGGACCTCTGGTCGCCGACGGTAGAATGGTGAGGAAGTCGCGAGGCGGCACTGGTTGACGGGGGACACTCGTCTCGCCCACTTCGAGGGGTCCAGCTCCGGGGAAAGCGATGCTTGCAGCAGCAGCAGCAGCAGTGGTCCGTCCAGTGCCGAATGTAGCATCAGCACCCCAGCACCGGCGGCAGCAGATCATTGACGCAAAGGACCAGGTCGCAGGACGGCAAATGCTGGGCGATCCACGCTCCGGTGCCGAGTTTTTCTCAACGTGCACTTCGCCGTTCCAGGGCGCAAGGCCTGGTACCGGCAGCACGTGAAGACAAAGCACGCCTTGTTTGCGAGCCAACAACCATCAGGTAGTAGGTCCAAAACTGACTGACTTGTCGTGGTGCGCGGTAGTAATCCGCCTCGCCTACGGCAGTGCCATGAAGATCGCTGTCTCAAGCCCCGTCAACTGCGCGCGTTCGGAGCAGGCAGGGCAGGCCCGGCCGTCAATCAGGCGCCCTGCTCCCCGTCGAGGAGCTTGCAGCGCCACGCTCACGACTCTAATTCTGGCATCACCCTTGTCAGCGAGGGGGCCGGGCGGGCATTCAGAGGGAGTCGGGACGGGGGCGGGCGAGATTGGCTGCAATGTGCCAAGCCTGGGTGTCTCTGGTGGTGATTGTGCGCTGAGCGCGAGCGGCCAGTCTCAGTAATGCCGCCCCGACATGCTGCGCAACCCGTGATGCCCGGTGTCGCAGACTCGTCGTCGGGACTCAGGACGGATGCCATGGCCGAACCCCCCTGGCGCCTGGACGGTCGCTCAACGAGGCGACGCTTCGCCCACGCCCGCTCTCGTTTCGAATCTACCCCGGTGCGCGTCAGGCACAGGTCGGCTCCGTCACTGCGCTGTGACGCGTTCATGTCAGGACGGAAGGTAATAAGCTCAGGTTGCATAGCGGGCAGTCAGCTGGGCCTCGTTCCAGTAACGTTAATCTGTCGCCCTCCTCGGGCAGAGCGCACATTCAGTGCAAGATGTGCACCGCGGTGGTGTGTGGGCGGGTGACCCCGAGAAAAGGGCGGCGGGCGGGCGGGCAGGCCTTCTCGAATTGGACAAGGTACCAACCTACCTGACCCGGAGCGTCTCATCGTGACTCTCCGTCTGTGCTCAGCCAAGAAATAAAGGCATTCTTTTTGCGAGTCGAGGCGAACAATTGCTGGCACAGTGCCTCCAAGCGACCAGTGTTGGGCGTGCACCGTCGTATTTTCAGACCTGCCCTGGAAGGGAGCCTGGACGGTGCGGTGCTTGGCCGCCTGTGCCCCAGTGCCCAGGTACAGTACCGTAGTAATGCACATGGCGGCACGTCCAGTCTCCCTCTCTCGCCTGCACCGGGCACCGCATCATCGGCGGCCGACTGATGCCCGCGACACGGTGGCCCTGCTTCGGTAGCGACGACCTCGCGCCTTCGGTAACGTCCTGTGCGCACGCGAGGGAGCCGGCGAGCATGGGGAAATGGCAGTCGCGACTGCAGCAACATTGCATTGCCGGCGCCGTAGCAGTCGAGGATGCTGCACTTCTGGCAGTACGGGCACAGTACTCACCTGTACAGTACAGTACAGATGGCAGATGCACAACAACCTGGAAGGCTCTGTGAATGCGGGGCGGAGGCGGTCGTTGGATCTCAGCCAGCGCTGCGGTAGGCTTGGGTGCTGCGTCGCTCCGCACACCCCCTCCTCGAGTACTGGGGCACCTGGTTCAGCGCACTTTCACCCGCTGGGCTGCAAGGCACTCCATGCCCGAGGTGGGAGTCCATGGCAGGAGGCAGGGACACCGTATTGGCACCGTACGAGCGGGCAGGTACGGAGTACATACAGCATGTACTCCGTACCGGGCCTTCAATTGCGCACCCCAGCCATGCCCAGAGGCCCGTCGATGGCTTCTGCGGGTGGTGCGTCAATCAGGTTCCAGCACGACGCCAGGCACTTGCAGCGGCCAAAGGTGGGAACGCTGAGCTCTCGCCCTCGCCTCGCACTCGCAGCCGCACCGCACCGCACCGCACCGCACCGCACCGCACACACACACCACAAGCTCACGCGCGAGCGTGCACACCTCTGGCTGCCAGTCAGTCGCTCGGTCGCTCGCTCTCTCGCACACTTTTGGCGGAGGACCGCGCCTTTTTCGTCTTGTCAAGACCGTCTCGGCCGCTCGCATCTCCTCTTGCGTCTTCCCTATTAATGCCTCCTCCCGCCCTCCTTCCGGTCCATTCCCACTCTTTGTGAATCCTTTGTTTCCGTTTCCCTCTCCGCTCTACCGCGATATCCTCCCCGCCTTGTGCCTCGCCCACCGTCCCAGCTTCGATGCTGCGAGTCAGCATCCTTTAGCTCACACAGAGGCAGCGCGCCGAGAAGGGCCCCCGACGTTGGCTTCTTACTTGGCCCATCGCTCATCGACGCACAGCAAGCCTGTCCACCACCAGCGCACGCACTCGCCCGCAACTCCCCCTTCTTACCAACGCGGACCAGGACAGGGGCCGTGGTGCTGCTGCCACACGCATCGACGACGACGACGACGACGACGACGCAGTGCTTCAGGAACTTGCCGCTCAATCAGCACCAATCCGCGGCGGCCAATTTTCCTCGCTCAGGCCGCCATTGTTCTCTTGTTCAGCGCAGCCGTGCTTTTTCTGCGCAAGACTGGAACACTGGGCATCTTGCCGCGGCTAGCAACTCGTGCTTCCGCAGCGTCTTCTAGACGTTTGGCAGAGCCAACGACACGTCGACACAGCCACCACAGACAGCCACTGACAGCTCCAGCGTCCGGAGCAAAGTCGCATCGGCTGCTACCCTCTCTCTGCTTCTTTTGGAGCGACAGCCCACAGGCGCGAATTCGCCATTGAGTGCAGTCGCAGCGTCGCCCGCCGTCGACTCGCCTCGCCTCACCTCGCCAGGCCAGTCCACGCGATTGCCGGACAGTGCATCTGGTCAATCCTGGCGCATCGCCGCCGTCTCGCAACCCCGCGCTGTCCTGGCTGTTGCCGCCGGCCGACAAAAAAACGGACCGCCTCGAACGCTTTTAGCCCTAGGACGAAACCGACCCTCGGCGATACCGCAACCTTGGTTGGCGACGGACACGGCCTCTGACTGGTGGTAGCGCCGCCCAGCCATTACGTCGTGGCTGCCCACCCCCACCCCCTCCAAACACTGGAGCGCTGCCGTCTCCAACCCTCCACCCTGCCGGCGCCAGCAGGCGACTTCACCCGCGCAGCATCCGCCCGGTACAACGCTGTACCGACAGTACCTGGGACGGGTACTTGCGACGCCGCTAACGTCGCCGACTCGCATCGAATCAATCCCGCCGGGCGCCCCTCGGTCCTCGCGCCCACCGTCTCCTCCGACCGCCCCAGTTCACTTGCGCTGCGCGTCGCTTTCCAGCGTGCGACTTCCCGACGAGTGCTTGCCCGTCGGGTGCACTTGATTTCCATTACCATCCATCCTACAAGTACCTCCCAGGTACTCCTGACAAAGCACCTTCTACCCTCTCCTGCAGAATGGCCCTCTTTTCGCGGCGACCACAGCAAGCACCCGTGCTGGGCGCTACCGCCCCGCGGCCAATACCGTCGTCGCACCCGAGCATTGGTGAGTGACCCGCCACGTCCCCGAGCAGGATAGGGCCTTGGTGGCCTCCAGTCCATTCTTTTCTTCCACGGATGGATGGAGCCGTTCCTCGTGTCCCCTTGGCCCGTTGGTTGGCCGGTTGGCTGGCTGGCCCGCCTAGTCTGCCTGCCCGCCTGCCCGCCCGCCTTGTTCCCTTCCCACCCCCCTTGCCGCCGCATTGGGCAATGACGTGACTGCGTTCGCCTGCGGCTTAACTCGCAAAACCAGGCTGACATATTTTTCTTGGTACGCACTAGAAGCAGCGCCGAGGACGAATGGGAGCCTCGCCGCCACGGCACCGGCGTCAGCGACCATGGCGCCAGGCACTGCGGCCGACGGCGGCTTGGCGGCACTCCCGGACCCCAGCGAACCCCCCCATTCCTATTATTCAAGCAGCTTCTCCTCTTCACCTCGACAGTTTCCTTCCGACTTCACTGACCCCATCCTCGAGGAAGGCGACGTGGAATCCGGCAGCGACTGTGCACTCGAGCCCGTCACCCCCGTCAGCGGCGGTCGCTATTCTCAAGACTTCACCGCGCTGCACCACGACGACCACGCCCACCCCCTGCACCGCGCGCAGACCGTTCAGCCCACCATCGCCGGCGCGCCGAAGCGCGTCCCTGTCCTTGCGACGCAGACGTCAGCGCCCCCTCTGACTCCAAGGCGGCCTGCTGTGACGTCTCGACCCTCTGATCCGGCGCCACCGTCACAGACGCCCGTCACCGGGCGTGCGACCACCCGCGGTTCTACAAGCAGGATAAGGCGCACAGTCTCCAATTTGTTTCGCCGCACCAATAGTTCGCGCGACCAAGAGCGCGATTTTGCCATCGCCGACACCCCGTCATTCACCGCGACCGATACCTCGCAGTCGAGTGGCGACAACTTTGCGAGGAGCGGACCGCCGCCCACCAGCAACGGCCGTTTTGCGGCTAAGAACTCTTCCAACACCACTTGCTCCAATTCCCCGCCCTCCCCCGGCTCGCCTCTCATGATGGCCCCGACGCACCGATCGGCGGTCATCCCGGGGAGCCCGCTGCCCGACGCCGAGGACTTCAAGAAGAAGGGTCGGGCCGCCACGGGATTCTCGTTCCGCGGCCGGGCAGTCAACTTTGTCGGCGCCACCATGGGCAGGGGACGGCCGTCCAAGGGGACGCGCCGGGCCGCAAGCTTCGACTCGGACAATCGCGGTCATCCGTCAGCCCAGCAGGACACAAGCGATTCAGATGACAAGACTTACCCACCGGAGCGACTGCCCTGGCCGCTTCCCCCGGACGCCGGCACCGGCGCCAAGGCTCGTCGGATGAGTCTCAGTCTCCCCGACGATTTCACTGTCGACGTCGCTGAGTTGCAATCTGAATTTGAGTACCACCACAAGATTCTTGGCCGGCATAGGAAGCATCTCGGCAAGGGGGCCGCGTCAAAGGTCACTCTCATGGTGCGCAAGGGTTATCCTGGCGAGCTCTACGCGGTCAAGGAATTCAGGGGCAAATCCCACCGCGAGACTCAAGAGGAGTACGAGAAGAAGATCAAGTCGGAATTCAGCATCGGCAAGAGCCTCCACCATCCCAACATTGTGGAGACGATCCGTCTTTGCACCGACCACAACCGGTGGAACCATGTCATGGAATATTGCTCCGAGGGTGACATGTTCGGCCTCGTCCAGAAAGGCTGGTTCAAGGGCGACGACAAGAAGAAGGACCGGCTTTGCCTGTTCAAGCAACTCATCCAGGGCGTCGCCTATCTTCACGCCAACGGCATTGCCCACCGGGACATCAAGCTCGAGAACCTCCTCTTGACGAAGGACAGCAAGCTCAAGATCACGGACTTTGGCGTTTCCGAAGTCTTCTCGGGGACGCACCCCGGTGTCCGTGAGTCTGGCGGGCAGTGCGGCCGAAACATGAGCGAGGTGCGGCTGTGCTCGCCGGGTATCTGTGGCAGCGAACCGTACATCGCACCCGAGGTCTTGGAGAAGAAGAATAAGTACGACCCCCGCGCGCTGGATGTCTGGAGCTCGGCCATTGTCATGATCTATCTGACCTTCGGCGGTGCCATCTGGTCTCGCGCGGAGCGTGGCAACGCACATTACGACAAGCTGGTTCGGGGCTGGGAGAGATGGTACGAGAAGCACCCAGAGAGCGGCGCGTGCATCACGGAAACAGACTACCCCCTCTGTCTGGCCCTGGACGTCGGCGTTAACCCCCCGGCTCTCCGTCGACTGATGCTGCAAATGCTTAACCCCGACCCCGCCAAGCGCATCGCTATCGAGGACGTCCTCAACAACCGGTGGATGAAGAATGTCGAGTGCTGCCAAATCGAGTCGTATGACGACCCAGCGCAGACGATCGACGCCACCAAGAAGGACTGCTGCAACAAGAATGGGACGAGGAAGATTTTCTGCCACAGTCACCTGCCGCCGAAGACGGCCAATTCCCACTCCTTGGGCAAGATGCCAGGGCAGACTGGCTACTAGACGCGCTAGGCGAATCCCGCCAGCGCCTACCACCTGTGTTTCTGCGAAGCCTGCGATCTTTTAGAGCCGCAAGAGCTAGCTAGCCATGCGAGACACTTGAACCCCGACGGTCAGTCAACTGACAGCTACACTGTGCTGTCTGGCCGTCGACTTTTCCTTTTTCTTTTTCTCTTTGTCATGGGCCACTGATACCATCAGGCACTTATCTGCCTTGGGTCTACGCCGGGCTGGGTCATTCTGCAACTATCACGGCGTTTTCGGATTCGACGGCGGCCCCTGGCTGTAGCGGGGCCCGCCACATTGGCGTTTGGGGTGTTGATTCTTGGTGGACAGTGGGATACATTTCGGGGCCGTGGATGACCTTGTCGGATCACTGCATCCGTTTCCGTTACCTTGTCACGCCGTCGGGCATGAGTACATATGGTTCAGCATAGCTGGATTGGAATGGGCATGCCATTTTCTCCTTTGGGTTGTTTGGGATCTGCATAATTCTCCTGGGTGGGTGGCCTGGTCCGGCGCGGCACTGTACATCTCCCGGGAAGCCTGGCCGGGGGGTATGGGTGCATGGGGGGCCGGAGTGATTTTTTGATTTCGTCACACAGTGGCCGGCGAAAACGGAGGTCCTCGAGGAAGAGCTCCACGAGGGGTTAGGTATTTGTCGATTCTGGATCATGACATGCAGGCAGCGCTAGGCCTGCCTGCGAAGAAGCGGGTGGCAGGGCTAGGCGGCCAGGGAGCAGCTCCTTGAAGCACGAAGCATTGTCTACACAATAGACCTAGGCGGACGATGACCTGCAATTCCTACTCGTCCAACCGCGAATCCTTACACTCTACGTCTGTCTCTTGATGCATGTGCATGCCGTGTTCTTAAGATGGGCCGGGGGCTCTTGTAGACGCAAGCCCTGAATGCACTCGGGACGCTGGTCGCGGACCAGTCGTGGCCGTAGAACGTCCCGGCGACGCGTGTGAATGAGGCACGTCGAGCCGAGTGGTGGCGTCCTCGACACGACACCCGCCCGCCAGAGCGGCGAGACGATCCGCGACGACCCCACACCGGGCGTATCTACACGGCCTTGGTGGTGGTTTCTGGAGCCGGCTTGGCTGGGGATGAAGGAGGTGGGCGGGGAGCAGGCAATTTAGTCCTGTGATGCTGGTGCGCCCGCTGCTGCTGACCGACATTGTCCCCGTCGCGATGCCGCAACAGCCGGAGCCGCATCTCGATGTGTCGACCGGCACCCACGACGAATGTATGGGTGTCTGCTGCCCGCCGGTCGCGACACTGCTTCCTGTCGTCTTCGGCGCCTCATGTCCGGTGTTTTCTTGCGTGGGTGTTTTCAGCCCCCGGCGTTGGGAAGCCCAGCCCAGCCCAGCCCAAGCCGGCCAAGCCCGCCTTGCTGTCGCGGGACGACCTCCCGGCGACGACACTGTGCGTCATGACATGCGGCCACGAGGGCCAAGGCTCGGCACACGGAATGCAGGGCTGATCAGTGATGATGGTGGTGGTGATGTTGTTCGGATCCCACCCCTCCGCCCACACGACCCCCCCTGGTCAAACCTCCACTTCCTGGGCAACAGCATGTTTCGGTGAGGCGCAAACGACACACCTGACGCTTCGCTGTGTACTTGTTACGTATGTGCGTGTATATGCATGTACCGGACTGTAGTGCATGTTGCGGCTCTCAGTCTAGTCCCGGTTCGGGCGGGTGCCTCGACGGGTTGTTGCGAAAAGGAAGAGCAGGGCGAAGGGCAGGGGAGGAGGGCGGGCCAAAGAGCGGTGTCGTGGGCTTGTGGTGGTGAGGCGAGCGGCGGCGGCGGCGGCGGCGGCAGGCTGGGGGTGTTGTTGATCCCTTTGGGCCAGAGGAGAAAGAAACACACCCACGCCTCTCTCTCTCTCAGCTCTGCACCAAAAGATTTACGTAGTTACAAAGTAAGGGTACAGCACGTATGGACTGCAGTACGTACGGGCTATCGTAAAGTCTGTTCGTACCGCTGGTAGTCCTTCCAGGATACGATTACGGACTACGTTGGCTTTGAAACCGCGGGAACAGCACCGTCGCTGGCGTGCGGCTCCATGTCGGGGTCTTTCCCGGCGTGTGCCGAGAAAGAGGAACAAAAAGCAGCAGGCAGCACATAATAGCGGCAGCACCAACAGCCCTGCCAACAACGTCCATGCATGCATGGCCTGGCCCCGGGACGGGTTAGCGCAGTCGTTTCGGCCGACGAGCAACAGCAACAGCAGCAACAACAGCACCGGATCCCGTTGCGCGATGGAGCGTCCCATGGAACCACGAGCCCCGTATCATGTTCTGTTTTTGGTCCCACGGGGCCTTGACCCCTCGCTTTCGCTCCGATTCCCTTGCACGACGTACAAAGATTATGCAGCCTTGAACTCAGCTAATATTAGTACCGTTTAACTACGTACAGAGAGAACTCGCGCTCACTTGCGTACAAGACCAACAAGCAGGGCCGACGTCAATGGGCGGCGGCGGCGGCGCAACAACATGGGGCGCGCAGTCGAAATAACCTTGTGCGAGCGTGTCACCGCTCTCCCCTCCCCGTGTCTCGGGGTTGCACTCTGCTCGCACGAGAGGCACAAAGAAAACGCGGCATTTTCGACGTGCGTACATAATACGGACGGGCGGACTGCTTTCGTACAGAACGTACTTCGTACATGATGTATATGCTGTATGTACGTGCAGAAGGGGTCCCGTATGCAATGCACGGCCGCTCGCTCGCGTTCCCGCAAAGCAGGGAAAGGGAGGGGAGGGGAGGGGGTGGATGTGGTGGGTTGACGGGCATGTAACTGAGGTACCGCCTGAGAGGCGTTGTACCTTGTGTGAAAAGCTGCAGGTTTGATGATGGCTCGCGTGCGTGTGCGCCGTCTTTGCCGGGGGGTTGTCACTGCACTCGGTACTGGTGCTGCTGCCCCGGTGGTGCTGCTGTTGCTCCTTTTCCCGGTGCGTGCGCCGCCGACGACGACGACGACGACGACGAAAGAACACAGGACGATTCGGCCGGTGCGGCGGCGGCCAACAGGCGGCGGCGGCGGCACGCAGGGGCACACACCCTCGTCCGGTTAAGTCGGCAGCGTCACGCATCACGCAGCCCCAGCTGCGGCGGGCTTTTCGGGCCAGGCCGTCAGGGATGGCGGTTGTTCCCACGGCTCCTTTCACAGCCTGCCAACGACGACGTCGACGCCCGCCGCCATTCCCGCAACAAGGCCCCCGTCCATCCGACCGTCCGCCCGCTCGTCCGTCCGCCCATCCCACCAACAACACATCAAGTGAGCGAGCGGGCGGCGCGGTGGGAGCCGAAACCGACCTGACCTGACCGGGCGCGCACAAGCGTGCCCGCGCGGAGACGCACGCTTGTGCTGGCAACAGAGGAGAAGGACTTGCAAGGCACACGTAACGGCGTTCCGTTCTTGACCGACGCCGCAGCATGCCCGTCTCGTTTCGGAATGGCTTCTTGAGAGGCTCATCGTGCTCACGCGACAGTGCCCACAGCCAGCCACGCTTCGGCTGTTTGCGACAAACAGGGTCCCGGCCGGACCCCACGCGCGGCGCCCAGACACCCATGCTCGTGTCTGTATGTGCTTTTGCAAGCTGAGGTCGCCATCACGTACATACATACAAATGCTGTATAGGAAGCTACTACGTAGGTGCATGCTCCAACTTATCCCTCAGCTTGGAGACTTACTAGGGGTCGTGGTGCTTGCCAAGAACCCCCCTTTCCGGTGCGCCGCCTCCCGCAGGACCATCGAGAAGGTGAGAGAGATCGGATGGAGCGTGCCGTGGAGATGCCGAGCCCGGCAGGGAACGTGCGCCGGCCGTCGACAGCTCTCCAACGTGACCCCCGATGACGAGTTGGAGGGGGCTTGTGATGTCGTTGGCAGAGACACAGAGAAAGAGGCCCCCCGTCGCAAAAAGGACTGGCGACAGCAGCGTGTCGTATGCATGTGGAATGGAGGTTGACAGTTTCATACGTATCGAGAGGGAGCTTGTAGATGGTACTTGACTTGGACGGAGCTCGTACTGTGTGCGCTTCGCTGTTTGTTGCTGCTGGTCGATGCATGGACCTTTCGCGGATAATCGCTCAGTCGAGATATCAACATGCCGCGGCGAGGGATGCCGAAGACGACGTCATCGTGGGAGGGACCGGGGAGCCAGGCCATGCGAATGGCATCCCTCGGCCTCATGTGCAACTCGCAACGAGGAGGGTGGCCTTCCGCGGGAACAGGGCAGGGGGGCGTGCGAGTTTCACGGCTCTCTGTCAATACTGTTGAACGCATTAATAACACATACGCCGTCCCAACTCCGTGACTATTGGCACCCGCTCCCTGCCAGATGCAGTTGATGAAATCCCGGGCCGCCTCCACCTCGCAAGTCTGGGTCCCTTGCCTCCTCCTCGGAGTCACTCGCAGGGCCGCAGATTCGCTCACTCACACCATCCCTCACGCACCTGTTCGTCGACTCACTTGCACTTGCACTCACACTGACGCCCGCCCTCGCAGAGCCTCCGTCTCTCACGACAGCTTCTTCTGCATCAGGTCCGCCAGCTCATCCAGAAGCTCCACCGTCTCGGCCGGGCTGGCGATCCACGCCGTCGTGCCCACGCTCCGCGCCTTGAAGTCGTTTGACCCCGCGCTGAGGAACTGGTCGCCGACGTGCAGCGTGTTCTCCCCGCGGATCACGCCGCCCCCGCGCCCGAACCACTGCTGGCACACCGTCACACCCCAGCTCTTGTCACCAATGTCGACGAAGACGTCGCGCCCGCCGTTGAAGGCGCAGAACGGCACTCCACGCCGACCCGTTCCTGTCGTCGCCGGCGAGGGCGAGCGCCCGGCTGCCTGCAGCGACGACCCCAGGCTTGACAGCTCCAGGATGCGCTGCACCACCAGAACCGTCTCCTCGAGCGACTCGCGAGCGATCCGCATGGACGGGTCCGTAGGGATGATGCCCACCGCCCGGTCCTTGCGCAGAACCGTCGCCGGCAGGTTCATGGTCCGCACGCAGTCTCGCAGAGCCGACTCGGCCACGTCCAGCAAGGCAGCGATGTCCGCCTCGGACCATGCCGCCATCTCGGGCGTCAGCCAGCGCTGCCGCGGCACTGGCGCCAGGCGGTGCGGTGAGGACAAGTCGAACTCAAAGAGGTAGTTGGCCTCCCCGCCCATGATGACAATGCTGTGCTTTTGCGTGTTGTCCAGGTCCGGCGACTCGGCGATGGCGTCGAGCAGCCCGTGAAGGCGTTCGTAGTAACGGTCCGCCGTAGTGTATCCCGCCGCCGTGACGATGCCAATCTTGATGTTCTTGCGCAGGAGGTCTGAACCCCTCGCTCTGTCAGTTTTTTTTTTCTTCCTCTGGCTCGGCACATTCCGCGATAGTCGGTCAAAACCTACCCAAAAGTCTCGGGATGATTGGGCTCGACGGCTCCAGGCTTTCGCCGTCGTCGTACAGAGTCACGTCACCGTCAAACGTGGCAAGCTGGAGCGCCCCACCCGTGACAGCCATGGTTTGCGCCGAGTTGAGAATCAGCCGTACGTCGTTGAACGATGGCGCAACGTAGCGTCGACACGAGATGTATCGCTTGCGATCCTGATACTTGAACGCTGCCTCCAGAGGTAGCCGCGTGAAAAACGGCCCTGCCGTTGGTACCAGCATCCCCAGCTTTGAGGGGACAGGCGGGAGCAGGTTCGCCGCGCCGTCTTGGACCTGGAGCTGGTTCTGCCTTTGACGGGCAACTACGCCTGTCAGTATGTGGCACGCAACAGGAAGGCCTTTTTAAGCGCCTAGAGGACGGCATGATTCAATGCACGTACTGTGATCATCAATCATCATCTCGACGTCTCTCATGATCTCGGCGTACCGCCTGTGCGCCTCCTCCGCCATGTTGGCGATGTTGGTGCCATCCCCAATCACGCCCGTGGGCTGGGAATAGAGCACAAACGGCACGGCCAGCAAGCCTTTGACCCACTCTGTGATGATCTCGGTCAGTCTTGGCCCTGGCGTAAAGCGCGGGGTTGGATGAGGCCACATATCCCCCCCAAGACGATGATGCGATACTGTATCTCGGCCATCTTGGATTCAGGAAATCACGGCTTCTGGACGCAAGCCGTTTGGTTTCACGTACCGATAAACTGATCCCGTCGGTGGGTCTTGAGGGCGTCTACATCGTCGTTAGCAAGCACCTCTGCTCTTGCAACCAGGGGCGCAGGTGCGTCGCCAGAAGCCAACCCGTCAGGGCAACTTACACTCGACACGGTATCTGGTCGTCATCTTGCGGTCTCGCTCTGTACAGCGCGCGCGTGTACCAAGCTGGCCTGAGGATGTGTTGAATAGCAAAGGGGTTTGTTTGGGCCTCGACAGGTCGACGATGCAAGTAGGTGGTCGTGGTACTTCGATCTCGGAGCTTAGCTAATGAGGAAGTGGCCTGCGGGGGTTGAGGAGGATCGCCAGCAGGGAATGTCAGATGAGGTAGTGTCAAGCGACAGCCGCGGCGCGTCTTCGAACCAAACTCGGATGTCTGCCGTGGCAAGTCGAGGGCAGTCAAGGTGAGTCGTCGCTGAGGCGGGGCGGCGGTCGGTCCACGTTGGGGAACAAAGGACGGTGAGCGGGGGGAGAGGCGGCCAGTGCCGGCACGCGGAGCCTGCCGACGCATTGGCGCCCCATCTGGTATTCAAAGCGATATTGTGTCCCACATTGGGAGTCGCATCCGCTATCGATCCGCGCGCTCATAACAAATAAAGAGAGTCTTTGTAGTATGTACTTGCAAAGGTGCGAGGGATTCCGTAGTTGCACAGGTGGGTGGGTCTTTTGTTCTTCGTCATATGTGACGCGCTTGTAGCCCAATTTTGAGGTTGACAGCAACGACAGCAACGACAGCAACGACAGCAACGACAGCAACGACAGCAACGACAGCAACGACAGCAACGACAGCAGCGACAGCGAGGCCCGAATTGTAGGCGACCTATGCAACCACGTCCACCGTTGCAAGGAGGAAAACTCCAAATTAATGCTGTCTGTCAATTGATTGTTTTGTCTTTTGTAATGTCTAGCTAGACCCTCCGTCCGTCTTCCACCTCTACCGGCGTCCCCGAGACATCTCGCCAAGCGACTGCGGCGGGTATCTTCGTCCTGACTGTCGTCAAGCGTGCCGCGCTGCGACCCTTGGAGCGGCAGCGCTCCGCTCGCTCAAAGATGACAGCTTGGCACCGCAATGGCTTTCCCAGTTGATCCAACCTTGATGACTCCTGACACATGGCTGCCGCCACGGATAGGTATTCCCTCCACGGAGGCCGGTCAGCGGTTGGGTCCGCGCCCCCGGTTGCCGAACCGCATCTGGTACTTCTAGCTTGGCGGCGCACCGGCGGCCATTTGCCCTTGCTGCGCCAAGAGCTGCTCCTGTCGCGCTTGCTCGGCAGCCACCTCGTCGGCCTTGGCCATGACGGTCTGGATCATGTTCTGCTCCTCTGCGGAGAGATGTCCAGCCAGGCTGGCGTAGTACTGGGGCTGTTCCTGCTGCATTTCTGTGAGGCAATGTCAGCAAGCCATCCTCACTCGATGCCACAACGCGGGGATGAGAATCTTACTCATCAAAGTAGCTTTGAAGAGCTGGTACGGCTCAATCTTGTCCAAAGGCGACTCGAGAAGGACGCTATCCTCCCCAAGTTCGTCGTCGTCGCCGTCATCGATACCACGACTGAACTTTTGGGCCTGGCCGCCGTCGTCAGTCAATGCCACTTCACGAGTCGGGGGATCAGTCGCGCTTACCTCGTCATTCAAGAAGTCGAGATAGGCTTTGCTTTCGTCCTTGGTCTCGGCCGCTCCCTCCTCTGCGGCCTCCTCCTCGCCGTTCCAATTGGCGTCGTCTTCGTCCCACTCATCGTCCTCGTTATAGTCGTACGCGGACTCGAGCTGGAAGTCATCGCGCAACGCCTCTTCCCGATCTGTCGAACAGATTAGCTTTTTACTCTTGAAAGGCACATGATCTCGGTCCTTACTCCGCATGGCATTGGGGAGGGTTCGGAAGAGCTCTGTGATGCCCTGAAGCAGCCGCGGCCACCCAACGGAAACGCTAGCGGGCACCTGCTCGTGATTCACACTGAGCAATGCGGAGATGGCCACAATGCACAGCTTCTTGTCGTGGACTCGGCTGAAAGACGTCATGCTGCCAAACCACAGGCTGAAGAAGCGATTCGTCCAGCCCTTGTTCTCCAACACCTGCAAGGTGAGCATGGGGTTGTAGTGGATGGAGTTGATAACCATCTCCATGAGGTGGATCTTGTAGCTCTTGATCTTGACCTCCTGGGCGGAGAGAATGTTCATGGCCATGACGATGAAACCCTCCACGCAGGTATCGATGTGTCCACGAAGGCTCAGCATCATGGCTTCAGCAAGCTTGCAGGCACAGATCCTCTCGACGCCACCCTGGACGCTGTCGGTGAACATATCGGCCACCATCGAATAAAGCGCCTGAACGTATTCCGGCTTCTGCACCAACTGAGGCACACCGTACTGAACGAAGTTGTCCAATGCCGGCAGCATGTCCTCGAGGTAGTACTCGGCGCCGGCCTTGAACGTGGTGTGGATCAACTCGAAGGCCTGCCACATGTTAGGTGAAATGCCCTTGGCGGCAAAGGTGCAGCTGTCAATAATCTCGAACACTTCGTTGTAGAGATCTGGGCAAAGTCAGTACACAATTCAATCGACTGTGATTAACTGAGATCAGTAGGGGCGCAACATACCGTAGAGCTTATTTTCGAGGGTGATCTTGATCACCGGCATCAGAACGGCTTCAATGTGGAGGAGAACATCGGGAGTGCTCTCGAGGGTGAGAATTAGAGTGCCGATTGTTTGCAACACACCAAGGGCTGTGATGCTCTTGTCATCGTACTCGGCGTAAAGTTCGCCGTCGTCGCCGGCCCGGCTCTCCTTCTCCAAAAGTTCGCGCACGATGCGCAGATAGGTGTCCCTAAGCTGCTCGCAGAGTGCGACAGCAAAGGGGGTCAGTTCGGTCGCGAAAACCTCCACAAAGTCTTCCATAACGTTCGCCAGAGCGTCAATGTCAGCCTCGTTCGCCAGCTTGAGTAGCTGTTGCATAATCGTAGGAATACTTTGCTGCATGCTGGTCCGGATCACGTCGTGCCTGATGAGAGGCTGCAAAGCGAGGGCCGCGGTCACGCGGACGGGCAGTGCCGCGTCGGCCATGCAATCCAGGATGTGGCGGTAGATAGTAAGCAAGTTGTTCTGGTCCTGGAAGTTGAGTTGCTCGAACTTCTCGATTGTATCACATGCCCTCGCGCGGAGGTAGCCTTGCGCGCTCGTGAAATCAGGAAACACGTAGCGCACCAGGAAATATTCGACTTGATCGGCGATAGGGCTCTTCTTGCTGAGGATGACTGGAGCGAGTGTGCCTATCATCCTCAAGGCACCCTCCTTGGCGATGTGGTTCTTCTTGTCGTCTGGAGACTGTTCGTACTCGTTGACGACTGCGTTGACAAACTTCAGGATCTCGAACGTTTCCTTCCGGCGGTTCTTGGTAAGGTTGACAAGGAAATTGGTAGCTGCAACATCGGGAGCTGACGCTTCTTCGAAGTAGTTGAGCTTCCGGTGGAGATACTCTTCGGGCTCATCTTCGAACTGCTCAACGTCTTCCTCTGACAGGCACAGGACGGGGAAGACGAAGTGGGTTACCAGATTGGTCAGGTGCGTCTTCAGGTGCGTCCACATCTCCTTAGGGCGTACCGACTCATCGAGAAAGACGAGCGTATAGGACAAGCAGGGGCGGCTGAGCCACGACGTTTTGGCAACCCATTTCTCGATCTCCTGAAGGTAATGTTTGAGGATCTCGGGGGCAATGTTGGCCGTGAAGTCCTTGGCAAACTGCGCCGCGTCATCTCCCTTCCCTGGGCTTGATGGGTTTCCGTGTCTGGGAAGATATGTTAGAGCTCTGCGGAGATGACTTCGGTAAAGAGGGAGGTTTCCGAACCTGATGAACAGCCGGTTGAGGTTGAAGTACGCCCACTTCTTGGCCTTCCACCAGTGATGCTTTTCGCGGTCAAACTGGTCACCCTGCATAGAGCTTGCTGGGGCAGCCTTGGAGACGGTCTGAAGGAACACAGTGCACCAGGCAATGTTCACCTGTTGTTGCCGCAGGTATGGCGACAATTCGAGCTGCAAAGAAAGTTAGCTGCCGTCCTCAATAAGGCATCCGCAAGGATTCGCAGGTCATACCCAGGTAGCGTGCTTGTATGCCTTGAGTGCCAGGTGCAGCATCTCCCCAGCCTCGTCACTCTCTTGGTTTACCAGCTCACTGCAGATGGCCATCAGACGAGGGAAACTGGTCTCAACAATGCTGTCGAAGTGGGCCCTATCCTGACTTTCCGTCGACTTGTAGCGAAAAGCACGGCAGAGCGCGAGGAGGCACTGGAGGCCGGCGTGGACGGAGCTGGGGCTGTTTGTGTTCAGCAGCTCCATCGTGAACTCGATGAAGCGGGGCCATCGGCTCGGAAAGTCGCATTGGAGGATGCGCTGGAGGACGGGAACAAGCTGCTGGCGCACTGGACCTTCGGAGGATGCCAGAATGGGCACCAGGATCTCTCGGATGCGAGACTTTTCATCTTCGGGTATCAGTGTTTCGTTGGAGAACTGATCGGATTGATACCAGGAACGATTAACACGATTCTTGATATAGATGACGGCTGGGAAGCGACGGTCAGCATAATGCGCGGGGCAATCGCCAGACGGGAAACGGCGGGAAGGGCGTACTGGAAAGTCGGACGCTCGCGTCTTGCTCGGCCTGGAGGATCTGAAAGAGGCAGTCCATGAAGCCGCCATGCTCCTCAACCTGGCGGAGGCAGAAGGCGAGTCAGCATATTGAACCATCGGAATCAGAGGGTGGGAATCGTTGGGCCCGGCAGTCCATATTTGCTCCCGGGCAGGATGGGCTGCAACGCGTGCTCAAGCGGTTGTATGGCCCATCCAGTGCACGTTGGAGCTCGCCACGGACTGTGTACCGGGTGCTAGATCAACGTACC